CCATCCCACTTCATCGTTACCACATCGCACTTTGGCGTTGTTTCTAACAAGATAGCGTCACAATGCCACCATCGCACTTCAGCGTGATCAAAACGCTTCTCAGCATCAAACCATCTCACATCAGCGTGACCATCGCGGATCGGAGTACCATCGAGGTTCAGAGTCCTACATATACATGACCTGCTGACTTGAATTGTTAAAGATGATGATATTTTATCCATATATTTTATATTTATATTCAATGTTTTGCCTTGTTCTCATTGACTTTGAAATACATATGTTTTGTCGTTGGTTCATGTCTGTCATATCTTGTTTTTAGCAAATTGTTAAAGTTAGGCCATTAGTTTTCTCGTTTGAATTGTTTCACATTTTCATGTTGGGACCTTTGACAGCCGACAATGAGTATGGGTTTTTATTTTTGTTGAAGACTTTACGGTGGCAGAAAAGTTCTCATATCTTCATTTGAACTTTGGTGGATAGTTGTGTCATCTGCAATTAAACCATATCTAAAATTTAAAATGGAAACGGGAAATGCGTCAAAGAGACTACAACCCGATCAAAGAGCACAAAACAGCCCAATGTCACTATTGATTCTTCAAAACAGCGACGAAATCTCGCAACCCGGAGGCGGACTTCATTAGGCCTATTAACATTAATGTATGATAGTTCAGCAAATATGGACGTCACAATAAACGACGAAACATATAAAAGATTTTTATATGATATAGTTTTATTTTCCAAAATACATGATCATATTGTTGCAAACAGGTTCTTTTCATGCTTTTCAATGTAACGGATCCGTGACAAAACTTTTAGACTGAACATTTGATATTTTAATGCCACATGTTCATTAATTTTCTAGGCTTAGACAAGTTTTCAAAATCGTAACATTCGTGTTCCAAATATCAACATCGTGTTCATACGATATAACACCCAGTGTCCGTATCTGTTCTAAAGATGTATATAATTTCGCAGAATATTCTTTTCTTCTATTGTGCCAATCTAAAAAAATGAATCCATGCACAGCATATTGATCTCGTAAGTTTTTGGTTAATATTTTGATAATTGTGAAATATAAAACTATTAGAAAAAAGTGACATTATGCAGATTAATCAAACCTGTTGTAGTAATATCGCAATAAGAAATATGTCAATTATAACTTTCTTATGATCCGTTTATTATTTGGACAGTCGATGTTCAAGCAGTGTTCAAAATCGCTCAAAATTTTGAACACCTTGTGTTAAAAAATATACAATGGTGCCCAATACCGGAAATTGATATCGGCTGGCGATTTAGGCAAAGAAAAATGAAACAAGCTGGAAAAGTAACTTCTCTCCTACATGAAAATAAAAGAATAATCTCCACATAATAGAATAATGGCTTACGTATTTTCTTTTCAAGCGAGATTAAAAAAAAATGTTTGCGTAAACATTTTTAATAATTCAATCACCGCTTTTGAAATATCCTTTTTATATTGATATTTATTATAATGTGATAGGTCTTTTAATGTCTTGTAAACAAACTTACTAATTTTTTTGTGTATTTGTCAAGCACAGCGCCCATAATAAGAAAAACAATTCAACAAGACCATAACTGAATAGTTTGGAATTATTGTGAACAATTACAGCGTAATATGCATGTGTCAATTATGCATGTATGGAAATTTCACTCGTCAACATAAAAAGACAAATTAAAAACGTGACATCGGATATAAACGCAAATAACTGCCTGTTCAGCTGTGCTCGTATGATTCCTTTAAAATATCAGGTTTGATGTCATACCGAATAAAGTTTTCTTTCGAAATTAAATATGTTACAAAGAGAGACTAAGAATACCAAAGAGACATTTAAAATCATAAGTAGAAAATATACTGACAACGAAATAGCTAAAAAAGAAAAAAAAGACAAACATACAAACAACAGTACACAAAGCACAACACAGAAAACCAAAGACTGATCGACACGAACCGCACCATAATCTGGTATTGGCCACTGCCTTGCATTAAGAACTGTATCAATAAAGAAAACATAATGCCAATATGTAAATGTAATTTACATTTAACTGAATAATATTTTCGGACAATATCCAAGCATACTGTTTTTTCCCTTGATAGAAAAAAAAAAGATAAACAAACATTCGATTTAGATTAAAAAATGGGAAGTCCATAAAACTGGATAAAATCACATGCTCGATTATATCAACCAATGGCAAGAATGGAAACTAACTGTCATATTATGACTTGGTACAGGCATTTCAAAAGAAATTGTGGATTAAAACTGGTTATGTAGCTTGCAAAACCTCCCAGTTGCATGACACTTGTTAACAGTTCCGTTATATTGACAAAATTGGATGAACTACCCAGACATAATTGGTTAACGTGACAATAATTGAGACCAAGCAGCCAAAACTGTGTAAAAATACACCACGGACTTACATCACAACTGACTTAAAAATTTATACAAACATACAAATAAATATGATAAAGACTCTACCAATAAAAATTGTTGTAGATGATAATACCAACAGTATGGTAAAAAATAATGACACATACACTTTCCCGACAAAGTGCAAATTGAGTTACATACAAGGATATACAAAATAAAAACATCAATATAAAACCGCATGCTTCCAAATCGCATGTATGTATCGACCCATATAAGAAATGCCCAAAGCTATAAACTCCAAAGCTTGACGCACAAATATAGAGCCACGTCTAGAGTCATATGACTTAAAGGAAAATAATAGTGCAAAGACAAATAAAGGGAAGACTGGAAAGGATATGCAATGCTGCACATCGACAGCACCGCTATTCTGTCACTCTAGATTATCATGTTTTATTTACGAAGTGGACACTAAATACTCGTCTATTAGGTCTTAGTTCTTTTCGTCGAACATTTTTGTTGTTTAACCCCGCCACATTCTGTATGTATGTAACTGTCCCATGTCAGGATCCTGTAATTCAGTGCTTGTCGTTTGTTGCTGTGTTACATATTTGTTTTTTCGTTCATTATTTTGTACGTAAATTAGGTCTTTAGTTTTCTCGTTTGAATTGTTTTACATTTGTCATTTGGGTCCTTTTATAGCTGACTATGCGGTATGGGCTTTGCTCATTGTTGAAGGTCGTAAGGTGACCTAAAGTTGTTAATTTCTGTGTCATTTAGTCTCTTGTGGAGTGTTGTCTCGTTGGCAATCTTACCACATCTTCTTTTTTTATATTTTAGAAAACAAGAACAAAGAAAAGGGACATATAAAATGATTGCTTATTGTTTACACTAAAGCGAAAAGGGCATAGTACAATTAAACAAAACTACAAAAGGAAAAAAAAAAACAGGCACTCAAAAACGTTTATTTGCTTTGATAGTTATTTCAATTTAGTCTTATATATTAGAGATGTCAACGAGTACTCCAGTACTCGAGTATCGCTCGGTAGTACCGAGTATCGAGTACCAAAATGATAATCTACTTATCGGTTTCCTGTTAGAATGATGTTGCTTTCTTAAGTTTAAACAAAACATATTTTATTGAGAGCTCCTCCCGGGAAATTATATATTAATCAAAGTTAATAAAAATTAAAATACTATTCTAATGTTTGCGTTTAACTGTCATTCAAAATTCATTCAAACATAGGTACATGTATGATATATGAACAAGAGTATTTTTCAAAGGCTTACACTTTTAGCTAATCTTAGTCACTCCCCCACCTCTGTACCGTCAGAGCATGCATTTTCATCAGCAGGACTGTTAGTTACCTAACAAATCTGAGAAATCGCTACATCCCAGAAAAAGTTGACAAGATAATACTTTTAAATAAGAACAAATTCGTTGCACCCTGTGTCGACCCTCAGAAAATGATAAATGGCATCAGTAAGTTCTAATCACCACCCCTTTGTCGATCATTAAATGTGTTTTTTTAAGGTTCACAAATACCGTTGCTTGAGTAATAATTTTTCTATACATATTAATTAATTACTTGATTAGATTATTACCATTTTTCATAATTAATGCATGTAGTAAATGGGCTATTAATTATGGTATAAAATTCCTTGGACTATTATCTGGGCCTAGGTAATAATGTTGAGGGTTTTACGATCATAAGACAACGACCCACAATACATATATGATATAATTTTGTGTTTCCATTTTGTAAATGTTTTACCGAGCGAGTACTCGAGTATCGCTCGGTAAATCTAACGAGTAATCGATAAGTAAATCTTCACCGAGTTGACATCCCTATTATATATTTTTTAGTTGATGTATAAACTCATCGTAGATACCAGGATTACAATTTTGTACGCAAGACGCGCAGGTCATCTATAACAGACTTATTAGTAATGCTCGAATCAAAAAAGTTAAAGAGGCCAAATAAAGTACAAAGTTGATATTTGTTCTGCATCTTTTAATAAAAATTTCTAAATTCCACACAGTTCCATTTGATTAATGCATCATTTATTTTTTGGGAGTAATTCAAATTTAAGAATTAACGCTGTTATTAAAATAATATCATATATTAGAAATGCAAGACGTTTTGAGGTTAAAAAACATAGAATAGAATTTTTATGCACACGATTGTAGAGCACAATTAAAACCCAAATATGCACAATACCCAATACATTTTATCATGTTGTCAATAAAACGTAAACCTACACAATTTAAGATAGTAATAATGAATGGAAGTTCAATTTTACAGATAAAAGCGAAAACACACAACATATAAACAGCTAAAAAAAGGACATTTTTTTATTCACATTTGATTATAAAATCAGATGATTGGGGTATCCCATTATATTCCGGCAAAGAACATATAAACTTAAACTGGCGACATAGCCTTGACGAATGCAGCGTTGCAATTCGATTTTCGATGTTTGTTTCAGAAAGTAACTATTCTATTTAATTTCTTTATTTCGCATTTGTAATAAGACATCGATGCAATACACATATATATATACTAACGTAAGTTATAAGTATTATTTTACGAATAACAAGTAGCAAAAGTCCTCTTTGTCATTTCTATTTCTGTAGCGAGTGGAATGTTATGCCATTTATCAATCCAAAAACAACTATCTGTCTCTATATAAGTTGTTCCATATCTCGTCTTTAAATTTCCTGAAATAAAAATAAATAATGCCATTAGAGATATACGTTTGTTTGTTTTCCCATTCATCGGTAATAATTGAGAGGATGGCGCATAGGCTGTTTAAATGTCGCTTTTCCAACCCGTTAGACCTAATTTTCTTATTCTAGGTAAACAGGTTCTAAACAGTACCCATTTTCCATTGGATAAACCTTCAAATATACTGTTTCTATTTTGATTGTTCTATATCATATTTTCACAATGTTTGCCTGGTGGAAAGTTGGCTCATTGGCAGTCGTCCTATATCTTATTATTTTTACAGTGTAGGGTAAACGGTTGTTTATTGTGTTCATATACAACAGTTGCTTGATTGATTCTTGAACCTTACCGTCAGCATTCAGTGTTGGTATGTATGATTTTCTCATGAGTATATTTGTATATAACTACCACTGGTAGCATACATTTGCTTGTGGATTGTCAATATCATCAGTTCCATCCAAATAAAAGTCCATGCTTCGGTGTTAGCGTTTTTATGATACATATTTACATATTGTCTTTGATAAATCAAGTAATTGCACTTACATTGAGACTGATATTCCTTAATACAAAGTTATATTTCGAATAAAAGGAGATGTGGAGTATACGTCAATGAAACAACAACTCAGGGACGAAATAACCAAAAGCCATCTAGATGATAGTATTAATATTCAATGTAAAAAAGAAGATGTGGTATGATTGCCAATGAGACAACTCTTCACAAGAGACCAAATGACACAGAAATTAACAACTATAGGTTACCGTACGGCCTTCAATAATGAACATACCCAATACCGCATAGTCAGCTATTAAAGGCCCCGAAATGACACATGTTAAACAATTCAATTTGTCATGGTTGTTACTGTTCTGTTTACAACCTTTTATGTTTTTGTTGTTGAGAGGCTACCTGGTGATTGTTCTTGTCAGACAAATATTTGCTGCCACTAACAAGAATAGATATGTGTATTTTAACCACTGGGTCGGTATCACCTTGGGTTAAGTATTTATGCAAAATTTACGTTCTGACATTTTGATTTGATTCTAACTTTAATACACGAATTCAACCTTAGAATGTTTTATTCGTTGAAAACTTGCGTTTAGTCTGCTTGAGTTCTTTGAATCTTCAAAAATAAATTGTTTTAAATTATTTTTACGTTGTTTATTTTGCAGTTTATCTTTTGTTGAGTAGTGTACGAACTCTGATAACTTATTTTAGATTTTTCCCCTAAAATAGTAAGGGGTCTTTCGCCACCCGGATCAGAATATAGCAGAAACCAATCGGTCTAGATTATTTTCAAGCAAGAATACAGTTCATTTGTGTTTTCATCTAAATGTGGAAAATTATTTGATTTGATCTATAATAAATATGTAGTAAAGAAATATCTCCGATAATTTAATTTGACAAAGGAATGTACAGTATTTTTCTGGTATTTTACATAATTACAAAAAGAAATTTTTACTATAATGCCTTAACGCATTTCATTATATTTTACTTATATAATTAATTAGTTATCCATTAGGCCTAGCGTAAAACCAAATATTAAAGAAGTAAATGATAGGTTAGAAAGTGAATGGCAACTGATCAGTAGTTCGAGTTATTATTTTATTCTGAATAATACATTTTGAACATGAAAGGAATTTATCTTGGTCAATGGTTTGTGATTTGTATTTGAGTAAATTATATTGCTATTGGCCATTGAATGACTGCTGTGGTCATAAATTGTACCTATCTCTGTATAAGTTGTTTTTATGAAATACATATTATCACATAAAACGTAGTGAGCAACTTATTTTAATTATCAATTAACGAACAATGCTGGTAAAAATAACAATTAGAAAAAGATTTAGCTGCCAAGTATAATATTTGAATTTTGATAATTCATTTTTGAAGATGTATATATCTTACTATAACTAAAGCCCTTTCCAGAATCCTAACTTAGGAATCATGAATTTTACTTGAACATTATAATCTGAAGAAGGTTATTTCCCTTTTCGGGAATTAAAACTGGTATTAAAAATGAAGCTCAATGTTGAGCCAACGATTAGCGGTTTTTAATCCCTGTTGATGTAAAGATAATATTTGATTGATATTAATATAAAAAAAACATATAAATGGGCTTTTTTTCTCCAACCTCTTGTACTCAAACTCGATTATAAAGCTTGAAATATTTATAAATTAATGTAACACATTGATTTCTATTTAACTTCTCACCGTTGCTCTGTACTGCAGCGCGCCAGAATTTATACCAGTATACTTCTCAACAAGGGAAATAATTTTTATTCAATTGCAATTTTAAAGTAAGATTCAGACTTTCGGAGGTGAGTCTCTAGAAAGTCTTATCGTGATTGATGAACAAGGGCATTAGTTTTACCCTCTTCACTAGTCAAAGGTTATGGTCCGGTCTCTTCCTTTTAACCCCTGGTAGATTAGATAAGAGGTATTGATTTCTATAGTAAACATTTGTAACTGGCTGCATCCATTTATACATCGTGTAAATATAACAATGTAAATAATCAATTGCCACATGCAGATTGTGCCACGAGTCTTTACCCACGAACACAATATGATATTATATTGACACTTGTAAAGGTCTCATTCAACCAATTGAAATTTAAAGCCATTTCTACATCTTCGACCATAATATAGTACAAGTATTGTCAATGGTTAAGAATGATGTTGTACGAGTAGGCGTTATTCTGTCTGTCGCTACCTGACACAACGCTGTACACACAAATTTGTCTTGATCCGCAAAGCATAAAGAGGAGGGAGTCGGATTGTAACATTTGGCTAGCAAAAATGCAGTTATACAAATTCATGATAAAACAACATCTTTAAAAAGGAATTATGATTCTCACCTGAAATCAAATATTCAACTCCTACTTGTAAATCCACTCCGCAATTCGATGGACTATTCTTAGCACGAACTTTAATTTCTTCCTCCACGTTAAACTATATGGTTTCAAAAATATCAGAAAAGACAATAATAGAATATAAAAGGTATGAATTATCATTTAAAATTTAAAATCGACTTACTACCAAGGGATTTTATTTTTTTTATAAATTAATGAAAAATTAGTTTCCTTTCTTTTATTTTATCTGTTGTCTATTTGTATGCGTGTAATTTACTTGCATTTGTGCTCAAGTCTGTCAATTATAGATAATGCATATTTTAAGGGTTTTTCTTGTCGTAGACCACACCGAGGGGTGCCAGGATTGATCAAATGAAAGACCGACCATAGGGAGGTGTTTCTTTGGGCAATCCGGACACCCCGAGGTGTGTTCTACGACAAGAAAAACTTTAAAATATGCATTATCTGACTTATATACCTTCACAAAAAAATGGGTTTTTTTCATAAAGATTTGCAAAATTTAGCATCCTATTGTACCGACCACACTAAAGTGGGATATTCCTTTCTAATGCGTTCAGGTTTTAATACGCCCTACGGCTCATTTAGAATGTGAAATAAAACTCTCTAATTAATCTAGATATAAACCTTAGAAATTATTATCCATACACAATAAAAATATTACTGTAACTGCATGAAGTAAGACACAAATGAATTGTTACCATCTGATAACGGTGTATGAAAAATACAAGACACTTTGTAAGTAATTTATTGTACCGACTTAGTTTATGGAAAGTGGGAGGTGCTATGTTTTTTTTTTGTCTATTTGTAATGACATTTTATCGCGGAAAAGTGATTATTTTTTCAATAATTTTAATTGAATCGAATGAAATATTCAGAATGATTTTCTTTTGAATAGCAATACGTTTTTTTAACAGATAATCAGGATATTATTAGTTACATAGTGTGTTAGTGACTAATATGATATTTACTGACCCCGTATATATCATATTAGGTCAGTAGCACACTAAGTAACGAATTTATCTTACCGACTATCTTTATTTGTTGAATCTAGACTAGAGTTGTCTCATTTGCAGTCATACCACATCTTCTTATTTTTATATAAAAGTGTTCAAGTGTTCAATTTTAAGAACCTACTTCCATTGGTCTGCACAAAAAAACAAAAAAAAACTAATGTCAACAATAACAATTTTATATCAACAACCTTGATATAACAATATTAAACAGAACTTTCAATACATTTATATAATCAAATAGTCCCAAAATCGTAACTCCATTACTAACCGTATATTGAAATAAGCCCCGCCTCCCTACTAACCTAATATGGAATATACACGGTCTCCACGCGGACGTTTTTAACCAATCATATTCCAAGAAATGTATAGGAGGTAAGATAAAATTATATACCCTCCCCCCACCCGACCTCATTGTGAGGTACGTGAATGTTATTCAATAGAATATAAGTATGTTTAATTAGTTAATCATTTGATAGAGTAAAAGGTATATATAAATGTAAACAAGTTAAGAACTGTCACGAAGGGGGCACGAAATCGTGATACATGTACATGTTACACGAAAACGAATATCAATACATGTAGATCACAGTATGATATCCTATTCAGTGTGTATCTTCCTGAACATGCATGAAATATTTGCCACTGGACGTTAAGTAACCATCAATCAATCAACTTTTTCAGTGTGAATCAATAAGATTTTCAAAATCTTACACATAAATATGTTAAATCTGGCTTTATTTTAAAGTGTTATGAAAGTTTTACATTAAAATTCATCTCACATATATGATAATGTTTCTGTATTGTAGCGATAAATTAACAAAACTTCACATTATTTGTTTCTAAAATTAAGATTCGGGCACTGACGATTTTTTTACACCTATCATAGATTGAACTTTAAAAAATAAATTCCCAAATCGGAAACAGAAACTATCAGACGAATATAATTTTTATCAAGGACAATAATGACCTCACACAGCTCATTATTTTATGCCTTGGAGCATATTTCATTGAAACATGGTATGGTCCGGGTTGATTCTTCGAAAGAATGACCTATCGTTCAAAAAGAAAACTCCATATAGGTATATAACTTTGAGTAACATTTCTAGTTTGATTTCTACGTGTAACATTCTTATTTTCCTGCTGTGTTGTTTTTACTTTTAAATCGTTCCTTTTTATAACATGCATTACTTCATGTACGCGTCGTACTAATCATATAAGTGAGCACTGTTATACACGTTGCTACATAATTATATTAGTAAACGATGAGTATAAGGAGTAAAGATTTAATAAGGAGGATACATTATTTGTCCCTGGTATTGCAAACATAATTTTTGTCATAAATCCCTGTAATATTATGTTAATTTTATTTATAAATGAATAGGCAAATTTTATGAAAGATTATAACAATAATACCGAACTCCAAGGTAAATTAAAAATGGGAAATTCATTCAAACTGACAAAATGAAACGTTATCATCCAACGGAACGAGTGACAAAAACAGTAATATTCCTGACTTGGAACAGGCATTTTCCGAAAAAAAAAATTGTGAGTTAATCCTGGTTTTACAGCTAGCTTAGCGTCTAGTGTATGACATTTGTTTATAGTTCCGTTGAATTTGCCTTGAAATATAGATATCTTTGTTTATTATTTGTACTCTCCAAATATGAAAAAAATATACCCTCATTACTACTTTTCGAGATATGTTTGTTTCAATGTAGTTTGTTTAAAGTAAAACGAAACAAAATGCTATAAGTATATAGACTTTAAAGTAAGTCACCATGTTGATTGTTTTATACGATTAACATTATCGCGATATTATGCTATTTCCAATAATAAACAGTCGACATGTTTATCCCACTACAAGAGCATGCAGATGCAGAAAAATAATAATACCGTTAAATGTTTCTTATATTTATGTCAACAGACAATTTTTCATTAAATCTAAAGAAGGCGCTTCGGACGTACGAAATTTATCTTATTTTAAAAAAGTACAAAATCAATGGCAAGGAATAAAAATGGGGTACATGTGCTAGTTTTTAACATAAACGTAGAAACGTTTTTTTCTAAATGTAGAAAATATAGTCTGTTCCTCTTTTATAAAAGCTTCGTAGTATAATATTAACGCTACATCGTCGAGGATACGTTCTCTTCGTACATCACAGGTATTAACGGATCACTGTCATTTATTGAAATGTTTGATTCGTTTCCCTCAGTTTTAGTTTGTAACCCGGATTTGTTTTTATCTCTATCGATTTATGAGTTTCGAACAGCGGTATACTACTGTTGCCTTTATTTGATGACATTAACCCGTCTTCATTAGTCTTCAGCGTTATACCCTTAAGAATATTATGTTCCCGTAAACATCATACTTTTTTTTAATTTGCTTAGACATTCACATATGAAATGTGAATTTTGGTGGCCTTTTTAGAATATTGGCAACTCCTCAGTGATATAGATTGAATTTGGATACGTTATCTACCCTTGCTATCTTATCGTATACCAAAATCTAAAATGATATTTTACACGTATTGTCTTGCAACACCTTTGTACGAGCAATAGCCTTGCTAATAAGATTGTTTTACTACTTGAACAGCCTATATAAGACACTATTGTTTTAGTAAAGCTGTTACATATCTCTTATTGATAATTAGAAAAGCTCAACGTGCGACTTGTATTTGCTGTACTTATAGTTTTCCGTAATTGTAAGAGTTTTTTGGTCCATGAAGAAAAGATTTAATACAAAAGTAAACAGTAAACAAATTGTAACATTATATTTTACCTTAAAATTATAATTCAGTGTCCATGCGTATTCAAATTGATCTCTTCCCACTTTCTTCTTGCTTGTAATTAAACCGCGTGATACTTAAATATAAATGTAATGTCTGTGAAATAATCTAGAAAGGGTATAGTTTGTCGTGTACATAAAACAACAACAGCTTAGAAATATAGGTTTCTATATGCTAAATAAACCCCTAATATTTTTATCCTTTTTGTTGTGACGTTCATAACATAGAAAATGTAAATTAGAAGTACAGACATTATCATTTTCAGTCACATAAGTAATACGTACCAACGTTGAGTGGTAGCAAATTAACGACAACAAATTTCATCACAAAAACCTTATTAACGTCAGGAAAGGGTGTAAATATAAAAACAAATAGATAACTAACATTCGTATTTTGTGATTTTCCAATTCTGAATTAATTGTACATGTATAATCAAACCTGCTATAAAAGAGAAACGAAAGATACCAAAGGGACATTCAAACTCATAAGTTGAAAAAAACTGACAACGCCACGGCTAAAAAAGAAAAACACAAACCGGTCGACAAACAAAAGTACACACAACATAGAAAAATAAAGTCTGAGAAACACGAACCCAACCAAAAACTGGGAGTGATTTCAGGTGCTCCGGAATTGTAGGGGCATCGGTGGCCGAGTGGTCTAAGTAGTACAACTACTGTATCACTAGCCTGTAAACACTGATGTTGTGAGTTCGAATCCCGCACGTGGTAGGTGTACCCGACTCCAATTTTAATTGACTAGGATTGTCAGTTTTGCTACCGAAGGTCGGTGGTTCTCTCATCGGGCACTCCGGCTCCCTCCACCAATAAAAACAAACCACCGCGAAAAATAGCACAATAGTGTTGAATGTGGCGTTAAACACCAATCAATCATTCAATCCGGAAGAGTAACCAGATCCTGCTTAACCCGTTGTGTTGTACAACCTCGGTGATAAGTCAAATTCGGTAGGTCAAGTTCGGGGAAAAAGGAACGAGATTGTAGTTAACACAATTGGAATATATCCGATCGTCATATCGTCATCTGTGAAACAGATATTTCATAAATTAAACGGTCAACCATCTAAATAATCTGGATAATGTCAGTTTCAGAGAATGTTTTGTTTGTATCAGAGTGATTTTTTACAAAGTACGATAAACCCCTCTTAAGACAAGATACTTGTATCTACGTTGGACATTCTATTTTATGAAACAGAATATTTCAATTTGTCTTTCAGTTTGGAATGGGGAATACTTGTTTAAAGTGTAGAAAATTCAAATGTTTTTATTGTAAGATGAAAGAGTTTTAGATTATATGTGCCACACTAGTTTCACAATAGTTTTGAAGCCTAACGTTTATAAAGGTCACCTTTTTAAAGCGAAAAACCTGTCTTCGCAGTTCACCTTCTCCTGTTCCGCTATAGTAAAACATTTACATTTTAAACCTTTCTCAAAGGTCACCTCTCTTATGAGGTTTGTTTTTCTGTGGTCCACAAGACGACCAAGACATACTAGTTTGAATGTACACATATTTTGCTAGGCACCAGATCGATACGCTAAAATAGAGTTTTAACGAGCTACCTCATATAGTCAAAAAGAATATGCAGACACGCCACTATTTCCGGCTTCACTCTTAGTCATTCGCTTACTCCAAAATGCTGCGTACTCGACAAACAAGCAGAACATAACTAAAATTTTAAGTCTTTTACCAAACATCCTGCAATTGCATTCGCGGAAATTAGATTAGCCTGAATACAAAGAAAATCAATAAAATATGATAAATAAAAAATAAAAAAATACAACCTAAAAGTTTTCGAAGTACTGATATATAGGGTTAATATAAGACAACCTTTATATAAAATGGAAAAAAAAAACGTATTATAAGTTCCCGTTTTACTTTTTTATCCTTCAATTTGTATTACTGTACATGTCAAAGTTATTGAATAAAAATTAATATTCAAATCATACTGTTCTTTTACAATTATGAATAGCCACATTTTTAATTGGAGGAGGAATTTAAAATTTTGAATTATTTTTCATAACTCACTTATGTATGATTTTGTTTACCTATAGTAGATCTACAGTACTTCTGTTTATTTGTCCCATGAGCACATCTGCAACCATAAGCCTCAGAAAAGAAATTGACCAGCACAAGACAACATATAGTCACTATTGTTGGCTTCATGGTTATTCTGAAAGAAAACTGTTGTATGTTGTGATACTAAGACTGTAGTTTTTAATTACAACTGGCTGATAAATAGCGTTTTGTAGAAAACGAAAACCACTCTTAATGGGGCATTAGCAGTCAAATTCATGCTCACCGATTTAACTCAAATTCTTATATTTCATTTATAACATACTAAAACGAATATCTAATTTATAAAAAGTCTAAAATAAACAATTTACAATGCACGGGCTCGATAAAACGTATCAAAATTTCGTGCGTATTTAATCTAGACGCCATCTAATTAAATATCGAGGTGACCTCCAAAGACTGCCGATGGTCATTTAACCCGACATAAACATTAATATTGATATAAATAGATAGCGAACGCGTGCAATTGGATTTTTCTAGGTCCTTTTGATTCCATATCATAGGGTAAAAATAAATGTTAATCATCGTTTTACCTGTATAAGAATGAGTTTTTGTGGATCGAATCAGTCAATCAAATGGTTTACCCTTGTTTCACTTTCAATTTTGACATTCTTTTCTGTTTGATAACTGAACACGCCTAATTCATGAGTAAAACATCTCTAGGTAAGGGGTTAAATTGAAGGTCACATGAATACAGATTCAATGAGGTCGAATTATAAACTTTCAAGTGAATAATTCATCAGCGATGTTTCTTAGCTTATTTTGTCAAAATTGAACCAAACTGGCTGCTAAATTTAGAGCGAATTATTATTTCACTGTTCCTCTTTCATTAATGATTGGACCAAAAAAAAAAATTCATATTTTAATTATTTGTTTATATCTCATAGCTAATTCCCCTTTAAAGACAAAGGCGGTGCTATCATGAGAGCCATTATTTGGCCCTTGAAATTGCAAAATAGAAAAAAATCTATAAATCTTTCATAATTCTGTAAATTTTATTAATGAATGAAATTTTATTAATGAATGAAATTTTATTAATGAATGAATAAGAAAAAAGCTAAAGTCTTAAAAAAAAGATATTTTACCATATAGACAAGATATAAGAAACCAGGCTGTGTATAATGGTTTACTTTTATAAATTTTGACTTGGATGGAGAGTTGTCTCATTGGCACTCATACCACATCTTCTTATATCTATGTGATGATGTATTCTGTTTGATAATTACGATTAGTATATTTTGTGTTTATTTATTTATTCTTAGCTTAGAAATTTAAAGTTTTATCATTAAGGCTAGTTATTAAAACGATCATGGAGATGAAACACATAATAATAATACTTAATTGAAATTGTCTATAAATATTTCAATCAACAGTCATTAGAATGTATTCTAATTAAATACCAACATGATGCCAAACAGCTCGATACTAATCAATTTTTTTTCACTAGTTTTACTTTTATTAACAAGAAAGTATATAACCAAATACCGCCGTATCAATTTCATAAAGATGCCTTTAAATCACTTAAAAACATCACAATCCGTGAATCGTAATTTTTACATAATATGACCCATAACTGATTTATTAAGTGCCGTTATTGCCTTTTGGGAAAACCGTAGTATTTATCTTCCAGACAATAATACTGACATTTTCTAAATTTACCACTTTTATAATAAAACTTGGACAAAACAGTTGTGTGTGATATTTTAGTACTTTATTCTTCTGTTTTAGAAATTGTAGTCAAATGGAGTCATGACCATCGTCGAACGGATTTTTTTTTTGTGGTATCTATGTCCATCTTTATTTTCCATCAAATTTATAAAAAATTGAAAGCCTTATCGAATAATATTTTTGAAAATATTTCGATGTGTTTCAAAATTTATATTATAAATATACATACTGCATTTTTTCCTAAATAAATAAAAAACATAAATTATACCCTTACATCTAATCACAGCGCGCCTTATTTTACTTTCGTCACCTCTCTTGGTTACACGAAAGGCCAATCGTACGCCTGGACAATGTAATACTATTTTTCCCATTTAACACAGACAAAGATCGGTGACAAAAACCCTAATGTCGGTTAAACCCGCATTTCCGGATAATGCTATTCATAATCCGTGCATTGATAAATTTCCCCGACAATTAATGGTCTAAAAGCTTATCTGGGTTTTGATTCGACCGAAAGTGAGCAGCATATAGCTGTCAGACCAACAATTCAAAACCCCTATATAATCAATAAAATTTTTGAATTTTCACAGCTTTCTGAATATTTTTCCTAAGTTTAACTTCATAACAACAAGGTATGCTCTGAATTGTACATGTATCACCCTTTCTACGTGCTAATTTTCAACCAATGTTTAAAATCTGGCAATAAAACACGAACGTTCGGAAGTCAAGTGCTATAACAATTATTCAATTATTTTCTTGAAATCTTAAATAAGTATACTATGGAGTACATTAATCCTCAATTTTTAAATCAAAATCATGGACAAGTAAATTTTGGCTCAAAATGGGATATATATATTCCTCTTTCACCAAAAGGTTCATGTCTGCAAAATTGACCCCAATAGAACTATTTTTTGTCATGGAAGGGCTACTTTTACTTATTTTTTAAATTGAAGTGGCTGAAATTGTGGTCTGACACCTAAAGAGATACAAAAGTTTATCAAAAATCTTTTACTTTGTTTTTTTTTCTTAATCCTTTTTCAATATGTAGTACATAAAATCGTATCTTATCATAATGCAACTTATATTTGCAAAATTTAAAGCTCAATTTTAACTGACTGTTATGTTTATATATGTTTGACCACAGGAACATAAACTTTTAATATCATCGTTCATTTTGGTTGATTTTTTCTTGATTGTCCTACTGCTTTAAAGATTTTTACAACTCTTACCCTGAGTTTAGTAAACAAATCAATTAGACAATGAAGTGCCAAGGAATATTGACCCCTTTTACAATCAGTTATCAGTAATGGACCAATACAGTTATGGTCATGAAACATTTTTCCTTTGCTTTAATTCAATAAAAGATGGAACACTTTTAATCGAGACATCTTATGAGATGGGATGAATTTCTGCGGTATTTACATTAGGTTCTGCTATCGGCAAAAACATGGGATTACGCAATAATATAACGGGTAGAAATCAAATAATTTCATATAATCTTCATGACGACAGTTTTTTTTGTAGTAAACAACCTATGTTTAACTGTTTAATATCAGAGAAACAACTTAACTGTTTTTATTGATAATAATTTCAGACATTGTTTTACATGCATGCATATTGTAAGGGTGGAATTGGCTAAAAATAGCACAAATTCAGAAGCTCTAATCTGGAAGTATTTGGTAGGGAAGATAACTCTTGTAATTCGTATAAAGTTTGTTATGATCAGTCATGTCATTGTCATAAAAAAATAAAATAATCTGTGTAAATTTATGAAAGACGTTGATACCAGTTTACACGTGATTTTTATCACTAATTTTCATTTTACGTAGATTTAGTCCTTTAATCCTGAATAAATCTAAAACAATGCTCGTGTTTTTAAGTACTTATCATACTTCATAGCACTTGATATCTACAGTTTAGAAAGTATTTATTTTTTTTCGAAAAAAGATAGAAAATTAAATGGAATAACTAACATTAGGTTGTTCATTCAGTTCATTCTGGCACATAACAAACATAAAAAATTACCAAATATATCTAAACAGTGCAATATGACAAATGTCTTACCTTATTCAAGATTACAATGTTTTCTTCATTAGGAATTATTACGTCGTTTATATATATACTAATGAACCGGATTTTGCAATGAATATCCCCTATATATCATTACGAAAAGCAACCCTTATATGACGAATTAATTTTATTTTGCACCAATTACTGTTAAATATTAGTTTTTATGTCAGATGCATTTGTTATTACTTATTTTCGTTAAACAAATGTTAAGTTGTTTTTGTAAACAATATAAGGTTATTTCCCGTTTATGGTTTTTAAACTAATTAAAAAGTAATCTGTAAAGTCTTGACTTCATGTGTCCCTTACGAATATTCTCGGACGTAAACACATGTACTCAGGCATAACGATATATAACATTTATAGCTAGAATACAAATCTAATAGTTTCCTTATACCCTTTTACATTTGACACTTAACATATGTACTTTTTCTGTACTGTACCTGGTAGATATCAAACTATTATTCATTGAAATAGCAACACAAAAAGACAAAAAAAAAAGGTTTCCGTTGTTTTTGTACATGTGAATAAGTTTGGAAAATGTTAGTTTAATATAACATGTATGAAACATTTAGAAATAGGATACATTGGATAAAAAGATCACTCCAAGTGTTTGGAAGTGCTGGTGTTGCTCAGTCTTTAGTTGTGTATGCAGTGTTTTGAGATCGTGTTTGTTTTTTCGTCGCCTTTCATGTTAGGACACAGCGTTGTCAGATTTTTTAGACTTCCAATGCCCAATTGGTATCTTCTGCAAACGATTAATATAAGAGAGATGCGAAAGATACCAGAGGGTATAAAATAAAACATTACGAAAACTAACTGACAACTCCATCGCTAAAAAAGAAAAAGACAAAAAGACAAACAATAGTACACAAAACACAACATAGAAAACTAAAGACTAAGCAACACGAACCCCACCAAAAACTGGTGGTCATCTCTAGTGCTCCGGGAGGGTAAGACGATTCTGCTCCACATGTGGCACCCGTCGTGTTGCTCATGATAGTACAAACCCGATAACAAGTCTAATTCAGTAGGTCATAGTCGTGAAAAGGGGACGGGACTTAGTTGACCATAACGAAACACATGTACCATAAATAATTTTGAAATGTTTCCTTTGTAGAATCCCAAAATAACTTTTTTTTATTAAAAACCAATATTTGTTTCTCGCGGGTAACAAGTATATACATATGAGTCGGAATTCTTTCAAACACTTGTCAAAAACAAGACGATCAATGAAACCAGATCATTTGATTTCACATAAGCGGTCATCTCAGTACCAGAAACTATGACAAAAGAGACGATTTCAATTTTGAAATTATAAATTTCCCCCTCCTAAGCAGCAGTATAGCA